TTTCACTCGATAACTCCTGATAGAGCATTGGAGCATTGAAAACGAAAATTCGCCCTTAGGCATTAGGAAATAATTAACATTTCTTATCGTTTAGCAAGCAGCACTTTGTTTTCTTAATTTCTTATCTTTTCACTCAAAAATTCTTTAGATTCATTCAAAAATATTATTTCTTTGTTATTTTTTATTGAATTCATTGTTACAGATCATCTAACAAAACGGCTTCTTTACAACGTTTACGCGGGCCCGGCCAGGTAATTTCAATTGTTTTTTAAGTGTTAAAATGAGTAAGAAAGAGAAAAAGATGAAAGCAATCTATCACTCCATATGAGTATGTGTGAATAATCAACTGTGAAAGTATTAAACATGAAACTCAATAAGCGACTTACTTCTCACGTATGCACTTTCCTCAATGCTATACGTCAATGTCATACCAGATATCATTCTTGAGACTTAAATTTTGTAATTTCATTATTTTCTAATTAAATAAGCTAAATTCAGCCCTCAATGGACCCATTGCAATTCGTAGCTCCTCCAAATGGATTGGATATGGCTGAGAAAGCCAAACAACTTGTTACCTTAACAGAACAGCAGAAGAAGATGAGAGGAATGGAAATGGATAAGAACAAAGTATATTTTATAATTAATTAATGCTTCAACATATTCATTTCAGTTACCGAATCCTGTCTTTGAGGAGGAATGGCAATCAGATTTAGATACATGGAGAAGAAAACGAAAAAATCGTCTGTCAGCAGAAGCTGACGTCAAAACCCCCAATACCATACCGTCTAAGGTTGAAGACAAAAAATCTGAGCACTTCTCTACAGACTCCAATTCTAATTCCTCATTCCGTGAGATTCCACGTTATACGGTTCGTTTTGAAAGTTGACACAACATCTTTAAAGTTATTTCATATATTTTTTTATATTTTCTTTATACATTTCAGAGCAAAAAGACGGAACTTCACGGCATTTATACAGATGATGATTCAGAAGATTATTCGAATGAATATCACAAGGTCAGTCACGGAAAAAAATTTTTTTTTTTCCTCAATATTTTCCATGAATAACTTCAAACTTTTTGATTCTTTTTTTTTTCGAGGGGTTTTCTATTTGTTGTTTATGGTTGTTGAGTTGAAAGGGATATACTAATGACTGATTAGATTGATATTCAAGATTTCTAGACTTTCCCTCTCTTTTTGAGATTCTTTCTCTCAACCTCTTCATTTAATAATTAATCTCTTCCTCCTTTTCTCTTTCTTCTTTACCTCTCTCTCTCTCTTCCTCTCTCTATATATCAAGTCTTCCTTCTGAATATAGTCATGGACAAAGAACATATCTCATCAGTGATACAGTTTCTTTCTCTTAACTCTCTATCAATATACCATATTTGGTAGTATATCATCTTCTCTCTTCTTCCTCATCTTCTTCTCTCTTTCGCATCCAAGAACCCTGAGATGTCTGTTCTTCCAGAGCATTTAGGTCATTTTTATTGGAAACCAATTGCAAATCTCAATCATTCTTTTCATCTTCTATCCGACCTATCAATTATATGATAAATCTGAATATCATATAGTTTATACTTCGCTTTGAGACCCAATTTAACTCAATCAGTCAGTCGCGAACAATCGTCGTGTCTGTGTGTATGCGCATGTGTGTATGAACGGTAAGAATTTAATTTCATAAAAATGTTCTTTTAAGTTTAACTAAATGATCTCACTTCAACCTGATATCATCTGAACTCTCATGCTCATTCAGTTCATCTCACACTATCTCATACCTCACATACCTCATACTATCTCTCTACTCTTTGCTTCTTTCTGATTATTTTTGCTACCGAAAAGAAAAAATTCTGTTTGTCTATAGAAAACTTCAAACGTCTGCCCTCTCCATCAGAATTCAATGTCTGTTGACTGCAAACAAAAAAAATTTGTTCATCGCCACGAGTTGCAACATGGAAGAGACGTAAAGATACGGAAAAAAATTATCGTTCTGTCGTCTGTTCGTCTGCCATTGTAGCTTAAGCTGCCTCACCGTTCAACCACATAATCTTCTATTCTCACACACTATTTGTATTCTTCTTTTTTACGTGACTCTCTTCCAATTTCTTCACAACTTCAAACACAATCGGTTGATAAAACGTCCGCCGTCTCCATTGTTGTCACAACTCTCCTGATAGAAGATCGTCATCAGCTTTTCACCTTTGAAATTCTTTTGAAAACCACGTTTTCTTCATCATCATTCTTCTACAACTAATCAGCTGTGAACCTATTCTCTACTATGACTTCACCAATCCCTCAGGCATTATCTCCATCTACGCCTCTGGCTATTAATTGTTGTCCGGAATTCTGTAAAAATCCTGAATGCCCATTTTCGCCAAAAGAACTTTCCGTTCTGCGTATTCAAATTTTTCCGGTAAGAATATATATATTTCAACAGTCAAAGCTTAATGATCAAGCTGACAATATCTAACTGTTTTATCAATATTTGCATAACAATCAACATTCATTTTTATGAATGAAATTATAAATTATAATCATTCATAACATCCATGTTCTCGCTCATCACAATGGCACCACATGCTGCTTGTTATGAAAGCTTTATTTTCTTTTTTTGAAAATAATTTATTTGAATAAAAACGAGTTGATAACCAACCAACTCCTTTCCCACCCCCTCTCCTAAGAATTTGTGTATTCTTAAGAATTTACTCACATTCCTTCGTTACCTTCTATCTCTCTATCTCTCTATCTCTATTCCCTCTCCATCTGAAGACATATTCACATGTTTTTCTTTCGTAGTATTTTACTACTTTCTTCTCTATCATTTGCTTATTCCTCATTCTTTGCCAGTTGATACGTCTTGAGATTTCCGGAACCGGAATAGAATGAAGAACATGTGTTTGTGATTGTTTGTTTGGATGAAGTGATGATAAAATCGAAATATGAAATAGGTAAAAATGATTTATGATTTAGTCGAGAATTGAAATTGCTTATGACAATTGGACGCTTTTTTACTGTTCAACCAATGTGTTTGGGAACAATAAAATACGACGAGATCAACATTATCCAGTTTTGTTGTTATTCAATCCTCTCTCTCTCTCCCTCTCTCTCTCTCTCTCTCTTTATGCCTACTTTCCTTTTCGAGAGTTTATGATCTTTTGAAAAGTTTAACATTTGCCAGTTGAAAGAAAAAAAGAAATTTAAATATTCTGCGGAGGTTATGAGTCATCTTTCACGTCAGAACACGTGTACTCACGTGCCCTAGTGCATACATTTCATTTTGATTAAATTCGGACTAACAGAACGGTTGACTATCACATTCTTTCATTCTTCTCTCTCTCTTACTCTCTCTATCGTTCTATTCCTCTCTACTTCCAATACCTTCATTCTCTCTCTCCTCATATTTTCTCTTCTACTCATCCTCTTTAATGTCTTTTCGAACTTGTTGTTTATCATATTCAACAGGTAAAGTCATTATCAAGACAGATTGAGTGATATTTGAATATCAGACTTAACCAAACAGTCTTGTATATTCAATTGTGCATGACTTGACGTCTACGGCACCTAAACTAGATATGCCATAAAAGGTCAAATTCTTGTTCATTCCTCATCTGGAAGTAGGAAAAGCCTGAAGACAAGAAGCCTCTCCATTTCGTTGACGATATTTGGTAAATATTGACTTGGAAGTGAAGACGACAAAAACGGCGAGTTGTAAATAAAAAAAAAAATTTTTTCTTCAATGAAAAGCAGCAATCAGATGAAATTTAATTTGGATTTTAGGGGATAGACTAAATGAATCAATCAATTAACTAAAAATGAAATAAAAAAGAAGAGAACAGATTATGATTGATAAGCATGACTATGAAAGCATTGTTTCTTCGTTATCCACCTGAACACCTAAATCAGTTTTTTAGTTTTTGACAGCCAACGAAGTTTTTTGCTGTCTGATTCAATGAAGAATACAATGAATTTAAGCCGATGATCAGATAAGCTTAACAGATGAAATTTGGAGCTTCGAACTTTCAAATTCCATGATACATAGAGGCATTCTCGCCATGCCTGTCGTTCTTGTTCTCTTTCTCATCTTCTACCGTTCTATCTTACTCTCTCTCTATCTCTTCATCATCTCTCTCTCTCTCTCTCTCTCTCTCTCTCTCTCTCTCTCTCTCTCTTTCACTTTCTATCTTTCTCTCTCTTCCTCTCTCGCTCTCTTCTTCATCTTCATTCACTCCCTTACATGTTGATGAAACTTTGAACCAGTTAGAAGACTCATATTCAAATAATTATGACTCTCGTTTTCCTTTTAATAATCTTCATATTCTATCAAATGAAAGTTCATAGGCATCTGTATAGAAACTGAAAGAGAAAATATAACGAGGGAAATAGAAAAGACACATGAGAATACAGTAATCGCATCATAATCTTCATCGTCTCGATTAGTCCTGGTTGTATGTCCCTAAAGGGCCTGAAACAGAGATTCGTTTTAAACTCTCTTTCAGTTCAATTTTCTCTCTCTCTCTCTCTTTCCCTCTCTCTCTACATCTTCTACTCTTATTCTCTTTTTGAATATCTTACAATCATTTTGCGTTCCTCTCTCTCTCTCTCTATATATATTTCTCATTCCCGCCCTCCTTTTCTCTCTATCTTTTCAGGCTTTTCATACTATCTATTTCTATTTTAATATTCTCATACAAATCTAAAACTTTCTCTCTTTTTATCTCTCAATTTTACTTGTTGTTATTACAGAAAAAAAAAAGAAGAGAAAGAGAGATATTTATTTTAAAAGAGATCATCAGAGAGAAAGAGAGAATCGCAGTCACTCAGTCAGTTTGTCGCATCAGCCAGTTAGTTTGACGACGTGATCCAACAGTCTCGTCATCTGTTTTAAACTAACGAGACACATATTCCGTTCTCTTCTAGATTTAGCTTTCAATATCTTCATACCTTTATCCTCACAACATCCAATTATCCTTTATCTCTTCTAACTCTACTTGTTAATCCAATAATGGATTGGGATCGTCTTGAGCGCTTGGAATCAAGCTCATCACCAGCTCATTATCTGCAATATGCTTCTCAACAGCTTTCACTTAGCTCTCCTAATTCTCGTTTTCAATATTTTGAACTTGAAAATCGTCCTGGCTATCTCGAAGTGAGAGCACATACCGGACGTCAAATTCATGACATGCCGGTAATAGGTCGTAAGCCATTAAAGGTATGTCCCCTCATCATCTATAGCATATCAAAACAATATCACAATTATGCTAATTATATAAATGGCATATGAATAATAATAAAAAAAAAAGAAAAATAATTATATTAGAAAGGGAAATTACACGTGTTTTTATTTTGTTTGCAACCAGTCAGATCCATTTAGTTGATCGGAGAAAAGTTGTTAATCCGTCAAAATCTACTACTTTTACAATTGAAATATTGTATTTCATTTAGAATATTATACGTATAGTTAATAATATATTTTATTCAAAAATATCCTTCTATTTCCTCATACGTTCATCTATCCTTTAGTAGCGTTAACTATGCGTATAGTTCGTTTCGTAGATGAAAAGGTTTGTATTTGAAATATATAAATATATACATAAATATTAAATATATAAATTAAATAGAATATAAAATACTGATTATCATTCTATTCAACTTCTCAACGTCATCCTTGTTTCAGAATTTGAAAGAAGAAATATTAACCATACGTTCTCCTACAGCTGAGGAGAACAACGATTCTGGCATTGAAAATAACAGAAACAGCAGTTCTCATTCTCCTTCTACTTCATTAGATTTCTCACCTAGAAGTAAGCTTCTTCTATCTTTCATTGTACATGTACATCTCTCTTCAGGTACAGATTTTCTATCTCCTAAGAGTCATACATCGTCTACGGAAAATCTTCCTCCACCACCTCCACCTCCATCTCTACCACCTGCTGAAGCTTCTCCTGAACCTACACGTCATTTAGATCAAGTAAGAGCTTTTTAATAATATTTCATAGTAATATATATCATTTGAAGGTACTTATACCTATTCCGACAACCGGTGCAACAACATTACATCGTCCATCTCCGTTGGAAGAGACTGTCGATTATCCACCTCCACCTCATCATCTCAGACTTCAATCATCAGTCGATAAGGTATGTATACAATAGTTGTAATTTCTCATTTAATCATATATATTTCAGACTTCTAAGCCTCAATCAGAAACCGATTTGTTAACTCCAAACAAGGCTCGCATCTCAGCAACCATTCCGTCCTCAAGCTATCTTCGCGAACACACAAAGGTTGAGGTAATGTATTATCATAAAAGCTTTTCTAAAATATTTTTCTCACGCATATCATTGCATAATTAACTTCTTTTTCTTTTTTTTTCATATAAAAATTATTACAAAAGAATGAACGGAAATAGTGTCCGACTGACCTCAATGAGACGCTAAGCATCAGATATGAAAAGATGTGTCAGACAATCTATTTCATATATCTTATCTAATTATGACATATTTTTCCTTAATTTCATATTTAACGGAACTATCCATATTATAATTTTTAAAAATTATCTTTCAGCCTTTCGTGGCTCAATCGATCCGTGAGCATCAAGTTGTAACAAAAAAGCTTCCGGAAACTAACGGTAAATCATTATGTTTCATCAATCTCATAAATTTCATTTCCATTTTGAAACTGCCATCATGTGGCTACTGATTTGAAAAAAAAAAAAACTTTTTTCCTCCTAAATTTCACAACCGATCACTGATCTGCTATTGTGCGAAATGAATCATCCGCCCTCAGCTTTTTTTTTTATTCACGGCTTTCACGAGTCGAAAATTTCTAATTTGCATATTTACAGTTGATTTGACGGTTGAACTAAATCGCGAACAGAAGGCCATCGTTTCTACAAGCAAATTCCCTAATCGTGAATCTTCAACTTCGAAGCGATCAGAAACGGCCGCTAATTCGTCATTTCCTGTAAATAATCTCAATATTTCAATATCATTCATGTCATTTTCAGAGTGAGACCATTAACTCTCAATACCGATTTGGAGCAACTGAAGAGTATCCTCAAGAAGTCTGCCAATTCTTCAAATTCTATTTCAACTCTTATATTTTCAGAAGAATAATAGAACTACAAGCTATTATCAATATAGAACCAACCAACAGAACGAGAGCTCTACAAATCGATCAACTGTTTGTTTTTGGACATTTCTATAGTTTTTTTATTTATCTGCGTTTAAGCCAACAATCCAAGCTTCTCGTAGTTTATCCCATAGTGTTAGTACTCCAGCCGTATCAGGAAATACAATGATTTCTAACGCTCCATCGCCATCCACAACTACTTTGTATCGTGCTGTTGATATTCCTTTTGATGATTCGTCTTCCTCTTCAATCTATCATCCACCTAAACGCGATAAGGTTTTTCATAATCCTTTTAATCTCTCCGTACTAACTCTGTTATTCATTAAGGATGGCCTTATTGCTATAACAATTGAACTTGGCGCTCAACCCGTTCACAAAGGTTTCGGTTTCTCAGTTAACTGTGAAAAGCGATACTGTCTTGTTGATGCTGTTGTTGTAGGAACTCCAGCTGATAAGCAAGGTCTTCAGGTAATTCTTCAAAAAGTTATTATATTCGAAAAAACTTTTCAACTCAGATTGGAGATCGTATTGATTCAATCAATGGCGAGAAGACAGCTGATCAATTCCCATCCGCCATCAATAGGGCAATTCATGAAGCAACTCGTATGGGAGAAATTCATTTACGTATTGAGCGCAAGGATGGTAAGTAACTTAATTATTCTGAAGTCAACCCTTCTATGTGGTCATTCCTTGCTTACCCTTTGTTGCAGTACGTACCTTTACCTCAACATCTAACAGTTTAACCAATAAGTATAATGACGCATCATCAACTTCCAAATTTAAACAAACTCGGAGTATGTTCAACAGTGAAAAACAAGTAGAGTCATATTCGGAATTCAAGCGTAAACATTCACGAAGTAAGTGCTTCCTATATAACAAAAAGCTATCCTGTTTTCTTGTCATAATCCTCTCTCTTACTCATCTTCCATACATTTAAGCCCCTCGCGATTATCCTGCAGCTCGTGATTATAACAGCTTACCTCGATCAACCTCAACCTCTGTCAATTCCTATGAAAGCTTGCCTCGACGACGTGAACAATCCATGCATTCCTGTATTTAAACTTTCTAATAGCTCATGCTCTCATCTTTGTTTTTTTAGCTTATGGTCATTCGAATGTACGTGAGCCTTTTGGTGGAAGTAGCCGGTCTTTAAGTTCTTCCGACTATAGGTTCCACTTTTCCATAATACGTTGTTTGAATGTTCTTTCGTCAGAGTAACTTCTCTCCACGACAAAGTCGGTCCTGGTAAATTATCTGACTTCGTCCCAGAAGTAGAGCGTTCACGACTTGAAGATAGTCCACGTCGACGTGTCGTCGATTCTGAAGAAACTCCCAGAACAATTAGAAACTATCAAGTGTCATCAAATGAGGTTGCTTGTTAAATGAAAATTCATGTTAACTTCAAAATTTGATTTTCAGTTAGGATATCGTCCTCAAGTACATCAAACTCAACATCAGGTTTGTCTTTAAACATTCATGTTTAATGAAACGATCAAAAAGAAAATAGAGATTGTTGAAGTAATTAGTGCAACCGCTTCATTCTGTCCACATATCATGTGTTTTAAGCTTGCAAATAGGCTTTCACGTAACTCTCACGTGAATTATGCTAATATCTCAAAAATATTTGAAGAAATTGAAATGTTCATACACATGCTTCTCTATAAAAGGTCCAGGTGTCCGTGAAAATTTTTTCATCTGGTATGATGAGACATGTTATCTTTTGTCCACCACCCTCTTTATACGTCCATTCATAGATTGTACTTGAATACATCTAATCTTTATCTCTTTTTTTTATTTAAAAGAAAAAAAAGTATTTGCTTATTCCCACGTTCTCAAAATTCATTGGATTTCATTTCTAATCCAACCAGTTATGAGTCGTAGATGTTGGCCTCACCTGAGAATATTCAAAAAGAAGCGAAGAGTAAGTTAAACTGGCTTCTCTCATGAACAAGTATTATATGCTCGTAGCTGTAATTTAACTTTCACTTATCATTCTAACATAGCTATGTTGTATTCAATTATTATTGTTCTTTCACTATTTGATGATGAAAAGACGATGAGCCTTTCGTTTTGGAATTGAGATCATTCAACTTTTGAATATAAAACATGCATGAGAGGTACTGACACGTCTAAACAAACAGATGCCAGAGGAACAAATACACCAACTAGAACCTCCGGAAATTGATTAAGACGACCTCCTATGCCCTCATTCTCTTGAGTATTTAGTTATGCTTGTCTAGTTGTGAGAGAGACACAAAAAATACATCTTAATACACTTTCTTATTTGATTAATGTTTTATCTAATTATTCCGTTACAGAATTCTGGATCAAGTTACAAGCCGCCGGCAGAAATCAACAATTACAATTACATCGATGAGCACAACAGCCAACCTCATGTGGTTAGTTTTCACGCAATGCATGTTTCTTCTACAATACCTTTTTGGTTTTATCAAAATCAATATTTTTCATTATAATCTATCGCTTCTCCTAATCGGTTTCTACCTCGGTTCAGCTTTTCGGAACTAAACGGTCATCACCGTTGCGTTTAACATGGAAAAGAAAACACACGAGTTACCCTTCTACCTTCGGTTTTCCCACCTATTTTCAGCTTCGAATTGGTTACTACGCTTCAGAATCTACACAAAGCTGACATTCGGACGAAAAATTCGATATAACTCTTCTCCTCTGCTGACTTAGACATCACTTGCCTATTTTCCGTTTCCATTATTATTTCAATGCACAGCACTGGAATGCAAACTTTGATGCTTAATCTTCCAATACCAAAATCTTACGAGATTCTTTCTAGAAATCGTCGTCTTCTACTGAAGTTCATGTACCTATCAGTATTCTCAAGACATCTTCCTTGACTGGGCAGATTAAGCAGGAAAACAGATTGAAACAAGAGCAGCACCGTCCAGAAGAGCACCATTACACAACTCTCGAAAACATTCGTAAAGCGTTGCGAGAGCCTGTAACACGTACTATTCCTATTGAAGTACTACGTCCTGTGGGAGAAGTTCCCTTAACTCCTGTAACACATATATCTGAATACGATATTGTTTCTGACGGTGACGAAAGTGACGATCATCTCTATCAAAGAATGCATCAGAAGCAACCCTTCCATACTGTTCGTTTATATGGCATATCACGAGAAGCTCCAACAACTCCGAGATCTAGATCGGTTATGACTTCTTATGCATCCGTACCGGAACTCCGATCAAAATCATCTGAATCTTTGGATATAAGCAATGTATCTCATCGGTTCTATGATCGCGATGGAAATCACGTCTATCGAGATCAAATAGTCCCTGACTCAATGCCTATTAAAATTCGCCGTGAATATGGAGAATATAAATATCGATCAGAAGAAAAAACTTTTGTGGTAGGTATCAACGTTGAACAAGAAGTGTATAAAAATGTTTTCCTTATTATCGATTCCAAGCAACCGTGGTCGAAACCGTCGGAAAAGCTAAAACCTTGAATATGAAATTATTTATGTATCTTTTTACTTTTTGAAGGAAACCAGAGATTGGAGGGACATAATTAATCAACAGAGACAAGCAGCTCCCGGTCAAACCGTTGACAACCAGAAAATACGAGATGTCACGGCTTCTATGAGGTAAACAGTTTTAAACATGTTGAATAATATACTTTATTATTCAGCAACCTTCCCTCCATCATTGATCGTAAGCACGAGGAATCAAAGAAGTTGGTTCGTGAACAGAACGATTATCATTATCAGAATAGAGATTGGAAGCAGTCTCAACCAGAAATTCAAACTTCTGTATGTTAACAAGCTACGCACATGCTCTCATCTGATCAATTTCAGCGCACAGAGTCCCATTCGGGCTATAACTCACTAGGCTACAAGCCAAAACCAACTAATAACTTTAATAATAACTCGAGTTATAAATCGAATACTTTGCGCGAAGAAGTAAGTCGATATGACGATTATCAATCGAAGACAGTCATCAACTCATCCACAATGCAAAGTTCTCAAAAGGAAGCCAAGGAATATACTCCTAGTGGATACAAAGAGGACAAACAGGAGAATGTTGTGGCTGTCAGTGGCAAACATAGATGTGCACATTGCTCAACCGAATTAGGTAAATTAAAAAAACCATTCGAATTACCATATTTGCTAAAAAAAAAATTATTTCATTAATGAAGGGGAAATAATTTGGGGTATTACTAGAGAAATAAGTTATTAACTTATAATTTTTATTAATTATACTACACATTATTTGGTTTCAATAATTTCATGGGATCGGGGAGATAACTAATTGCTTAACCGTTTTGTTATTGGAGGTTTAAGTATCTTTCAAACTTCATTTCAGAAACATCTAAGCTGTGTCCATGTCGATTTAGAGCTTTCGCAGAAGCTTAAACTTTAGAAATAGTTAGAGTCCGCTTTTACATTTTCTAAATATCTGCTACAACTTTAAACTTTTATTTTTTGAACATTCATCTTTTTGAAATCCATGTGAGATACCCCTAGGCTTGTATGTGTAGCTTGAGGTAATTCTCTAGGAGGCTATACTTCATATAACTTTCAATCGTCTATCTTACTTACGTTTTCATGTTTAGGACGTGGTGCTGCAATGATTGTGGAATCGCTTAACTTATATTATCATCTCGCATGCTTCAAATGTTTCGTTTGCAAAACTCCATTAGGTAAGAATTAGACGAAATTGTGGTGTCAATGTTAACGTGCAATCATAAATGTGAATCTTCACAGTTTCACACCTACTAGATCAAGATGACATTACAGATTACAATTCCCTCATTAGCTAAACTCATTCTCTAATTACCATTCTAGGCTCCGGTGCCACAGGAACTGATGTTCGTGTACGAGAAGGACGATTGCATTGTCAAAGCTGTTATAGCAATGACAAACTGCAATTGAGCAAAGTCTAACGGAGTTTCTATCAATTTCCCACCTCTTCTCAGAACTTAAATATCAACAATATATTCCCTTAATATGGTTTTATTCAATTCTCTTAGCATTTCTCCATATGATTTCTTACTTCGCTATCAGTTAACCTTGCCTTAATTTGGTTTTTTTATTGCTTAAAATAATAATGATACTTAAGCGTTACTTTCGCATTCAATACTCTCACTTCCAAGTTTTTATCTTGAGAGAGCAAAATTTCACTTTCTTCTTTCGGAATCAGATGAACACATAGCTATTACAGAATTGTATAAACTTATGTATATTTAATAAAAGAAGTTTTAATAATATTTTGTGTTTGAAATTGAATGTCTGTGATTCTCACTCAATACAATACTTTGGTTTATTGATGTACAAACGGTAACCACTATAATAACATCGCTTTATCAATCATATGTCCGAAAGACTAAAAACTGGCTTATCATGAGAACAAGAGCAGATATTGATTATTGCCCTTAGAACAACTCTTTCTACTTATTAATATTCATTTCAAATACTAACAGGGCTTAAAGCTAATTAATTAAGCTCAGCTTTTCGAAGGCTGTTATCTGTAGTGCTGCAAACACGCCAAACACTTCACACTTGGCGTCTTTCCCGTCTTGACGCACAACACGTGTTATTCATCCCATTAATTATGTTTCTTTTTCATATTCATAAGTGTTTCTATGGATTTTCTGCTTCTTTTCATTGTTGATTGTTTTCAGAATAATTTATAAATTGTATAATGCAGTTGAGCATTCTTAGGAGTTCAGTAGGACGAATTTTATCATTAGCAACAAGGAGGCCTGTCAACCTAACTACTTTCTCAAATTATTCAACGAAAACAGTCAAATTCATTAGTGGATCAGAAACATTTGTTGGCAGCGGAAGAGTTAGTTTGTTACTATAATGCGCTCTAATTAATTGGCGACTTGTTGTAGGAAGGAGATACTTTGTTAGATGTTGTAATTAACAATGACCTTCCTCTCGATGGATTTGGAGCCTGCGAAGGTTTGTTCTCTTTTGTTCTTACCTATGTTTTTTTTCCAGGAACATTAGCGTGTTGTACATGCCATGTTATTTTAACGCCAGAACATTTCCAGAGGGAAGATGATGTGAACCCAGCATCGGAGGAAGAGATGGATTTATTAGATTTGGCTCCTGACCTCAGCGATCAGTCGAGGCTGGGTTGTCAAGTTCGTCAAGTTCATTGATATGCATTGCATTACTCATTCTTTCAGATAAAATTACTTAAGGAAGATACTGTTATAGAAGTTGTTGTGCCTACTGCGAAACGGGATGCTCGAGCTCTTGACTAATTTCAAATTATATTTTATAGTTAATTTTATTTGTTTTAGAAGCTTTGTTGTTTCCAATAATTATTATAAACATTTCATAACTTTAAGTGCATTTTTAAAATGGCTAATTATTCACAAATGGCTCTCTGACATAAACGAGCTTTTTTAAGTTTTACGGCATCAAAGTATCTTTTGCTGCTCTCTCGCTTCTCATTAGGAATGTCAACCTGGTTGAAACACCTGCGATATCCATCTTTCTGAGCCCCTAGGCTGTCCGTTGTCTGACCACTGGCTATTCGACAACTGGCTGCTCCATATCTTCTCGCAGAAATTCTTGGTTCATCTAGCAGCTATAAATATTATTTTATTATCAATGGATTCTGAAGAAAACAAAGATTCGGCTGGCAACGAAGCTGAATCACGTAATATTCGTCTTCAGCCATTTCAACCTAACAAGTATGTCCTGAGGATCAGGACGCGACCACAGCGACCGTCTGTTATTACAGGTTAATTTTATAATCTTGCTAAGCTATTCGGGCAAAAGATTATCATCTGTCAGGCAGACTAAACTGTTTTGGTTCTCATGAGGGTCTTATAATTGCGACCGTATGTTACCATTGACTAGGATTCTATTCGCACTATTAGCTGGCTTAATTACTCTCGAGTCTTGTAACACAACAACTATCATACTCTTCCGGGCTAATAACGCATGTTCAGACGATTTGTCCGAGCACTTTCATTTTTTCTTTTTCTTTCGATATACTCTACCAAGATGCATTTCATGAACAGAACCACAAATCATTCCGTTTCGTTCAATCACTCAAGTTCCTTTCAATCCTGTGGTTGGTGATAAACGGTTGTTTCGATCTCTCTCGTTCACTTGTAAAACAACTTTTATAAACTGTGTAATCAAGGTAATATAATCTTTCGAACATTCACTCATGTTGTTGCGACTATTTTACAACGAAATAGACTGGGGTCAATTCTCCCACTTCAGCACCTCGGCTTGATCCCAAGTTGATCTAATCAACGCCTGCTGCTCATCATCACTCACATACTATTGATGATCAGAAGATAAGATGAACAGGACAATGATTGAATTGAGCATTTTTATACGTATGACTCACATTCGCAAAACTTAATCCCAGCCGGTCGAACCCATTACGTCCAGTATCTTCTCCATCTACTTACTTGTGACAGCTGCCTCTACACACAAACACACACGCGCACAATTTGTCTATTGAATATATTTTTATTCATTCTCTGATCCATCAATTGCCACATGTAATTCATTAGATGTTTTTTTGAAGTCACCTTATTAGCATATGTTCATCTGATAAAAGCGCGCGCACGGGTTACGTGGGAAAACTGTAAGCTTTCAAAATTTTAATTGTGGCGTCATGTGAGCAGGAATGCGGTTGTTCTTGTTCCGCCCACTGATTTTTTGCATATTCCAATTGTTTTTTTTATGTTATTGTTTGTTATGGAAAGAGAGTAGAAGGTCAAATGTGTTTCAATTTAATTGATCAAGTTTGTTGTCTACATATTGACTTCAAGAGTTGCCTGTCAGTCATTCTATAATTATTTTATTTCAGAAGAAGCAAGCTCCTCTTCATCTGAAGAAAATAAATTAAAAAACAGACAAAATAGAACATCTATCAAATTACCAGAATTAAAGTATGTTCATTCATTATAATCATAACTATTTGAATATATTTGCAGAGCCCAATGTTCTACAGATAGCTCGGATATGTCCAGCAGCCAAAATAACATTACGAACAGCACGTCAACCTCAGCATCAAGGTTATCCTTTTTTTTTCTTTTTGATTCATTTAATTCGAAATTGTTGCTTGCATGAAAGGAAGTTTTCAAAGACAGACACAAATTTTATACTTTCGGCTAACCAAAAAAACAAAACAAAACATCGTTCATAGGCAATTGTCCGATAATGTGTGTCAAATAAGAAATATAAACTCCTTTCATATGAAAGAAGAATGAATATAGTTAACATTTATCTATTATAGAATGGAAAATGGTGACAAAATACCACGTCTTGTGCCGGGAGTTTATCATAAGATACCAACACCTATACTAAGTGAACACGAAAAATCAATATTGAGCAACAATAATGACGGTCAGTTTCATAACTCTTATTATGGTCACATACTCAGACACTTTTTATAATCTTTCATCATTTATACTGCTCATAGCTCTACTGGGTTATCTAATATTAGTTTTTATTTCATTCTTTATTTACAATCAATATAGATATGCTATAGCTCAGGCTATCATATACCATATATACTGTGTTATTGATTGATATCTTTGATTTTTGATTTAATCTTCAAAATTTTTTTATAACTTTTTCATTTCCGTTCATCAGCTTTATTACATTTCTTCTAACTTGGCAGATTAGCACAATTGTCCATTTTATTCTTCTTTGTTCATCATTCCAAGATGTCCAGAACACTGAAATTCTGAGATGCTTTGTCTGACTGAACTAACATCTTAGCTAACAGACAATCTGCTTTATCTCTCTACTTCTGTTCTTTTTCCATCTCTGCATCTTTAACCCTCTTTCCTGTCTTCTTTCCTCAATCCACTTTTTCTTTCTCTCTCTTATTCTTCCTGTCCTTGGACTTTTTTTTTTGTTGAGACGTTTGGCCTGTCGTTTCAAACTGTTAATCATCTTCACCAATTATCCGTTCATTGAAAGTTTAGTATGAACGATGTACAGCTGAGTCAAATGACATATTACATTGGATAGGCCTTAGCTTTCGATAGTTTAATTCAATTTTTTTTTTGCTCTTTGAAATCTCGATTTCTTGTTGTTGAAGATGATACAGTTTAGTGAAAGACCTTCACAATGAGCAACAATTGTGAATAGATGGCTATGCACCAATGGTTGGCGCTTTGCTTTGACCCCAATTAAACAATTACTACAATCCCATCGATAGAAAACAATAGATTGACTATGTGACTGGCGGTATACACATTGAAAGTCAGGATAGAAATTAGCCGTTATTTCCTTTTTTTTTGTGCCAACTGCATACTACCTTTAGAAAAGGATGCGCATTCGGTTGTTGCTTTTAGTCTTTTCATCTTTCCTTTTTACAGCTTTTCCTTCAATATTTATTATTCAACACATCGCCCAAACCTTATCTACTTGAGTATGCACTTTTTGTAATAATTTCCGGAAATGATTTGGTGCTTCGTAGTTTAATTTTATTTTTCAAATTTTATTATTTGAAAGATTTTTCCATTTTTCATCTTTAAAAGATGCCTCTAAGAAATAATATTTTAGTTTACTTTTCCTTCTTCCAGCTTCAGCGTATAGTTCATCTCTCATCCTCTTCCTATGTCTCTCTCACTCTCTTGTTGAGCTTCACAGCTGCATATAGATATGATACTAAAAGTAGCTGCATATCGATATGAAGTGACTTCATATATAGAAAATTTGTTAAAGATAGATGTTGCTTCTTAAGCTATTGGCTACTATACTGGAAAATTTTAATATCAAGCCATGTGGAAAATTATCTTGAGTTGGATCTTATTAATGTAGGCCTCCCATGCTTACGTATTCATGAGGATCAGAAAGATTCCGTTGGCTTTTAACGTATTAAAGATTTCTAAGCATCTTGACTGAAGTATTTAATGAATTGAAATTAGTTCTTATTGCTTTGAATTCCAATATAATTTATATAATTGAATAATAATTCTGGAATAGAATGTTTCAAGTCATCATATTCTCCACCCCTCTTAATCATTTAAAACTGCTTGAGCTCCAAAAAAAAATGTGAGAAAGTAACTCATTGTCCTTCGAAGCCAGTTCCTTATATCTCTATTATCCCATTTGGTTGACTGAATATCTATGGATCATTTTAAGTGGATTCGTTTGATAGTTTGCCAATAGCACAAGGAAATGACCTCTGACGCATTTCATGCTTGAGTTCATGCCTGTTCGCCATCAATCCAGCCGGCGTAACCAAGCCGACTCCCTTTCTCTCTCTGTCTCCTCACTCACACGCACATTAGTAGGCTGTCGGTTACATGTATCATATATTATATTTTTGATCTTGTTTTGTTTAGAATCACACTTGCTTTTATTTTCTTGTCTCATGTAAAGCAGTACATTTCTTGAATACCATTAAAAAGACTCATTGAATATCTTATTAGAAGTATCAAATGTACTGCTTCTAGCTTAGAGCCCGGTGGGATACAATCTGCTTATGGCTAATTCAAGCCACGCCCTATCTTGTTTATTGCTCTTTACCATTGGCTACTTAAGGTTCATTGGCCAGACTATATTTTTCATAGAGAAAGCTAACACCTTTCAACTTTCCCACAAACAGCATGAAACAACCATCTTTCTGCTCGTTATTTATATTTCACTATTTATATGTTAAGACAAGTTGATCTTAATGAGCTATTTTCTATTTATATCCATCCAATTTGCATCTCTATCGATAACTAGTCATAAGAAAACTGCTTCATCAGTGACTGATTATGTTATTGCTTGAAAGTTATTCATTTTTTTTCTCCTCATCTCCAATGCTTTTATCACCTGCCAAATGCCTAACTGCATCAGATCACAATCGCATATATTTGAGAATTAGTGGAATTATACGTATAGCATATCATATCATAACCATCCAATTATTATAATATATATATATATATAATCTTCAAATGATATTAATAGTTTTAATGTTTTCTGATATAGTCATGTTAGTACCATTATTGGGTTATGGGCTCATCCGTCTTTTTCAAGCGTCACAGCCTTTTTTCTGTATCTCATTGTTATCTATTATGCTTATTCTATGTTTGTTTGTCCACATAGAACTCTCTCTCTATTTTTTTGGCACTTACTCTTTACTTCTTCTCTCTATCATTTCTCTTCACTTTGACTTTGCCTTTTTTTGGCGTGAGATAAAGGCGGAGTTTCTGCGACCCTTGTTGGTCAGTTGAATGTTTACCTTAATCATCACATATGTCAGTTCTCACCCTCATTTTTTGTGTTGTTTCTAATCATTTATTATAACTCAAACATTCTAACAACATTCTTTCTTATATATATATAGTAATTTACATATAATTATTGAATGATAATTGAAAATGTTATTTCTGATGCTTAGTGGCTATGCTTTAACCTCTAACCAATGATGATCATGTTCATCTTCCGGTTGAATGTTTATACATTTTGTTCTCTGAAATTGTTCTTAAAATAGTTGGCAAAAGATGATTTGTCCTTTTCTTTCATCTAAACTATTCTCACATGTTGAATCATCATGGGTTTCCTTCTTTTCATTGTCATATCCGTTTGAAATCTTCTTTTCTTTCTACTCGATGAATTTTTTTTCTTCTTCTCCATTCTTCATCATCATTTCATCTTTAACTATCTTTTACTCATATGAAATCCTTATATGCATCATTTTCATAGATTTATACACATACATACATCCACACATTCATTTAACAGAGAAAGTGTTATCGTGTTTTATCCCCGAATAATCCGCTTCTGCTGATATTTTATTTAGTTAGAAACAGTTGGTTACTTTTTGACCTACATTAGCATATTTCCGTTTTGTTCATACATTACATATGCTTTTCCAAATGATTTCTGCTTTATCTCATTAAATCAATGTTTTTCTTGTTCATCCATCACCCAAAAACTACTTTAATCGGTTACGTCCACTCGATTTCATCATTTTAATGAAAATGCTGATTAGTTTTCTCAACTTTAACCATGATCTTTTGTATACGAAATCCAATCATTTGATTTGAATATGCTTTCTTCTGCTTACACGCTTACATGGTCTTGAGACTAGATTCATACATGAATTTCCATTTTGAATCTGGTCATCTTTTGACTTTTCCATGTGTTATGTATAGATGGGTCATTTCCATATGCTTAGCTATGTTTATAGTTAAAACTGCTTATTATTTCTTTATTTTGATGTTTATCTCTTGCAGTAGATTCAAAATCACTAAAGCAGCCTCCGGGTATTTCATCCGGAATGCGTGGACCTCCACCTGCTTGGCTTCCTCCTTGTCCGCCTGACAAGGATCATGATTATGAAAATAACTATGAAGATCCAGAAAACTTACAAAAAAATAAAGGTAATCTATTCATCGTTCACATAGTGATTCATACATTCAACATTTGCAGATATGTCAAGAGAATTACTTTTGAACAATAGTTGTCCTCCACCTATGTATAATTCATATGAACTTTCACTTAGTCAACAGGTATTTTCTCAAAATATCTTAGTAAATTCATAGGAAATGCTTATTTGAAGAGAAGAAGCAAAGCTTCAACTGCTAATATATCAACAGCACCTTCCAATGAAGATTGGCATTCTGATGACGGAAATCAACGCGTACTTCATAAAAATTCTGAAGGAACATATTATATACCCAGCGTAGCTGTATCAGGTGCTTATTAGAATATTTTTTTTCTTATTTTATTATCATTTTCTAAGCAGTTTATCAAAAATAATTATTGTTTGAGCATGTCAGAGTTTTTACAGCTCTTACTATCGGTAGGTCAAGAACACCATCTTGGGTGTTTGTAAAATTATTGCGCAAGATAGTTCGACCTTTTCCTTGTGTAGAAATGAGAGCTCATTTAGTTTTTGGCTCAGCTCAATCACTTGTATTGAATATGTCGGCAGTTGTCATCAAAAGCATAGCGACTACTTCGTAACTTAATATGTTTTGATCATCAAGTGGTTTCGAAATGATTCAAATACAAAAAAAAGGAGAAGAAGAGAGAAGATAAAGGAACAGAACAGTTCAAAACGTTATTCATCTGACCGATATAATATTAATTGAAAGTTAGAAAGGAGGGGGGGGGGAATGAAAAAATTGAAACAATCAATCTGCTGATACAACAAGCTTTTATTCTTTCAGAACATACAACAACCTCAACACTATCTCCAAGCTCTCAGATTCGCTATCAAGAACAGTGAGTTTTTTAAAGCTATTTGTTTATTCGTAATTTATTTCTTTCTCTCATCATCTACTTCTCTACTTATTTCTCTGTCAATACGATATCTCTAAGCTTCATCTGATGGCAGCAGTTCTACTGTCACTGTATAATTGCCGTACTATGACCGGGTTGTCTGCAGCGTTGCGCAATAGATCCCAAAGCATCATTTACCTTCTGGCAGTTGTTTTCATAATCCTTTCCTTCTTGTTCATATTTGGACCATATTTAATGATTTAGATGGGGTATATAATTGAATATTAAGCGGAAAATGATGCCTCCAATTAGTTATATTAACGCACAATCATAACGCTTTTGAATGAATAGGCTTGCAGTCAATTGAGATTCGATATATATGTAACAGCATGAGGTGTTTCATTCACTATGCTTCATATGTTTTGATAATATTGGCTCTTGTAAATAACGACATGCAATAATCATATTCAGAAGTGGTCAGCTGAAAGCACAACATGTTCTTATTTGCTTATTACCACTTAAGATTAAAGCTCAGCTTCTAAATACTGTTGCTTCTATAATTGATCTTTCCTATTCTCATCTCATTATTTCTTCATCATTTTCTTATAAAAGCATGAAAGATTGAGAGAAGCTTGATGTTAATCAAGTGCTCTTCAGGGTGTGATGTTGGCTGTACGCCAACCACATCTTTGAACAGATTTTCCTGTGGCATGTATAATTAATCGAGCGCATCGCACGAGAATATGCAAGTAGCTTCACGGAATAACAATGTTCAAGTTTCTTTTCTACGTCGACCATCTGTCTTGATGTCCTATGTCTCTATGGTGTTACTAGTGCCAGCCTTCTCTCCTTTTTTTCTTTGCAGCACAAGAGTTCATTTTGACATAGCTAATAAAGATCCGAAAAAGTTTAAAAGACGTTTAAAGGGGACAGACATGATAACTATGCTTTTCTAACCTTTTTGACTATTGACAAATATGCAAATGATGAGAAGGCAAATATCCTAAACAGGTTTATAAAGAAACTCCCAGCGGTGCCAGATGGATTAGTCGGCAGCATTATAAAGATTCAAACTACGGCTAGCTTTACTGTCAAAGTCATCCAAAGTGTCTTCTCCTGTTTGGTTTTGACCGTGAGTGCCCGCCAAATGATGTGGTTCATTGGCGACAATTTTCCGCGCCTTCTTTTTCGACTATCTCATTTTCTATTCAGATTTTTCTCTTCTCTCTTCGTCTTATTTTCTCTTTGTGTGGTTACTATTGTTTCCTAAACTAATGAGAAAAGAAAAACTGTGCGTATATTTAGGAAAGGGATGTAGGGAAAATCATTATCGAAATGAGCCATCTGAGCTCGTTGAAACTCGTTATCCTGCTTGAGTTACTCATAAATGCTCTAACTCTGAAAGCTGATGTCTGTCTGATACTTGTACATCGGCTTCTCAAAGCAGAAGTCTAGCGTTTCTCTCATCTTTTTGACAAGTTTCAATCTTGAATCTTCAGTTTTGCTGTCTCACCATTCTGAGCACGTTGGCCATATTAAAATCAATTAGATGTGCCCTTTAGATTACATGTTTCGCTTTCCTCTTATTTTACTTCATTTTGCCTGGAAGATCAGCAGGGGTCAGCAGGCAGCAGCTGGTCTTAGAAAGCAAATAAGCTTATCCATGTGCTGATTTCCGTAACTGACAATTTCTTATTTAGCTATAGTCTTTTAGCACATTTGCATGATCTCATTATGGTGTCAAAGCCTTTTTACATTTACCGAAAACGCTGATATATGCTCTAGTAGGTCAGTATAAACCGGAATAGTCAAATCTGTGCCACTGGTCAGCTTTTAATATTGCTTCAGTGATTACTCATGCTCAATTAAGAAATGGTAGTTCTTAAGTGAGAAGTGAGGTGTTACATTTCCGTTATAATTTGTATCTTAGTAACCCATGCTGATATTGTTTCTCTTTACTATTCACATTCTGCGCATGAAGATGCTCGAACAATTCTCATTGTTTTCTAATTTACTGGATAAAAGAAGAGAGACTTCTGACTTTGTCGTGCTAACTCACTCAATTTTCTTACTTTCTTATTCTCTAATTCATGTTCATCAGCAATTCAGCTTTCTCTTTACTCCGTATTGATATTTCGAGACGACATCTAGTCGTCTAATGATGAATAGAACATTTCGGTTAATTGTTAAAGTATCTTTGAAAAAGAATGTTTTTTTTTGTTTCTCCCAACAAAACATTCTGTACATTCGTATTCGGGCGTGATTCGTTGGTGTGCATGTTGTGCCAAAGATAGAATGGAGCTTCCAGCTTCCTTCAGCTATCCGAATCTATTCTTTCACTCTTTATGTTGCCATCATAAACTTTTAATCAAATGTCCATTGAATTCGTTGTGTGTATGTGTTTGGTCATTGGCAGTAACTAAACCATCTGCATCTTGCTTAATGTTTTGTTTGATGTATGCAAAAGAAAAAGCTATAGCACAATTTAAGATGAATATAGCTGTATACATCTCAGATACCAAAACTTTTCCATTAAGACAAATTAAAGATTTGGTGTTCTATTATAAAAAAGTAATTGAGCTAATTTCGTTTCACTAAATGTTGAGATTTGCGACTTTGTTGGGCTTCATTAATTTCAAATAGTAGAATTATAAATAGCTTTATTTAAGTTAAAGTTCAATCTAGTTGGTGGCTATTGAGTTAACACAAGCTTAGACGATGTCTATCTTCTGTTATTGGATATTTCATAGTTTTGTATAGGATGAACATATTGCTACTTGCGTTTTTATGACGAATAATATGGTTTACTTTATTGTTCAAATTTCCAATACTAGCTTATCCCTCTACACCATTCATTTCTTGTGCTTGAAGGCGTTATTTCATATTTTCGTTTCGTTTATATATAGCGACTCATCATCGTTTTGCATTATTAGCCTCATATATGTTTTCAATAGGTATATTAGCTAAAACTCTCGAGTAAGCGCTTCTAGCTATCTTATTGGATAGTAAATATGAAACGTTTGAGTTACATGTTTGCATCTGCTCGTGTCTTCGTCTATTTCTCTGAAAATTGAGCTATAACCTGCGACAGTTGGCTATCTGTTTGTTATGCCTCATAAAGCAACTAGAGTTATCTACGCGGGTGTGAAATGTGGTCTTGCTATTGATGTCAAGTTCACTGGTTTCGTTACAGCTTTAACAGAATATGTTATGAAGTAATTGTATTTCTGTGGTATCCTGTTCTGAATGTGTGATAGACTCTGTTCAGATCTCAATTATGAATAGACTGGAGCGTGAGACAGAACTCGAAACATCTTATTTTGGTTCTCACAAACCCATGAGTCTCTAAATGACCTAATTATATGTCTCCTTTCTACAGCCATAGAATACGTGTTAGGGCAAGCGGCGGCTAGTCTTGCTGCTGATGCATACACTAATTTGTCTCTTATTCATCTCCTGTCTATTTTATAATTTGCCATTCTCTAATCTACCTTTTTACTCACTAATCTCGACACTTCTCATTATTATTCGAATTTTTTTTCTCAGATGCGCAGGCATGTTGACTACCGGTCGAGGTACATTAACTAGCTCCAAAGGAGATCCTGCAACTGCGACATTAATAAAATACAACACAACAGCTTCATTGAGCCGACCCGTAGCTAATAAAAAGTTTGTTTATCTTCAACGTGTTTCATTTATAATTATCATTTCCAGACGTTCACCTATTATGCATGAGTATTTAGAAAAGAGAGACAAAGATTCGGCTTCAATATGGAAGCCATCTATATGTATGGCCGCACTTTTAGTTGCTTTGATAATATCTTTGATTATCATTGTTCTCTTGTTACGTAAGTATTAATTTTACGCTAATGGAAGTACAAATATTTTCTCCTTACAGTACGTAGCCCTCATTATGTATATTCTGAACTCTCTCCCGTGGCTTCTCGAGCCCAAGCTGATCCCATGGCTGTGGATGAGTCTATACTTCGGCCGTTGCCAGCCATAATAGGAGTAGGAGAACGGATAGAAGCTGATATTCCACCCAAGCATACCGTGATAACGTAAGCTAGTTTTACAACTTTTGAAAACTCTTTTCTTTCGTCTTTAGAGAGATGTTTATTTCTCGCCCGATTAGGATATTATTTAATATAACTTTGGGTGCTGGTGCTCAGATGGTTTTATTAGGTCGACACAGTGTACCTCCCACGTTGTACATTCATGATTTTTTCCGGCCATTAAAGGCTCAACTAGTAAGGTTCTATGCAGTGTTCATGCAATAAGATGAGTGTTTCAGTCAACGGCACCGAAAAACTCTCTAAGACAGAAACGGATGACACAGACCCCAGATATAACAGTAACTTTTACAATTTTCTATCCTTTAACATGACTGTATGCTATAGGATCCTCGGTCGGCCATCGTTGAAGAGTTTTTGTTGGAAGGTCGTTGGCATTTGATGATAATTAATGAAAGAAATCGAGTTG